TTTTAGAGGACTGGGATTCTTAAGTTCTTTCACAAAGCCGCATGAACATTTCCTGCTTCCTGCTGGTGGTACTATTATGGAGAATGGAGAAAGGTGTTGCATTGAAATGGATTTTCGAGTCACTGAGGTTTCTTCCCTTGGTACCCAACTTTAAAAAATTGTACTACGAATGATGGAGTTTCTTTCTCACATTAGAACATGGGTAATATCCTTTTTCTTCTGGATGATCAGGATGATTACTAGATCTATTTTTGTACCATACATATGGCCACGGGGTTCGTATGTGCTTCTTGGTGTACTGGTCTCTTCGCTTGGCTGCTTGTCAGTTCCTGGTTTCTTCTGCCCACTGCCCCTCCTCCCTCCTCATAGATGGTTCTCTTCACCACTGTTTACAGGGGTTGTTATAAAACTGTATTTCCTAATGAGAGCGTTATGCATGTAAACATCATTACTTGTACTTGTTTTTCATTGTGAATTAAAACCATGTAAGTTCCTCACAAATACAACTTTGTTTTAAAGAACGCAAACTGTACAGAGACATACAGAGTAAAAAACAGTTCCTTCAAAGTGTTCCTTTCCCACCTACCTTGTCTTAATAAGGAGTCTCCAGAGACACAGACCAATAGAGTTTCTGTGTCTGTAGGTATCTGTCTACCTATGTCTATATAGCTCCATATATCTTGAGCTAGATGCACACACACACGTATCTATCTAGCTATATGTAACTCTATAACAACTGTGTGTAACTATATAGACAGACATATACACACATGTACAGATTTTTTTCTGTTAAGGAATTGTTTCACACAATTGCAGAGACTTGGCAAATCCAAAATCAGCAGGGTGGGCTGGCAGGCTGGAGACCCAGGGAAAAGGTGTAGTTCAAGTCCAAAGGTGGTCCTCTGGCAGAATTCCTTCTTGCGTAGGAGAGGTCTGTCTTTGTTCTATTCAGGCCTTCAGCTGATTGAGTGAGGCCTACCCACATCAGGGAGAGACAATCTGCTTTACTCAGTATAATGATTTAAATGTTAGTTTTGTCAAAAAAAAAAAAATACTTTCACAGAAACATCTAGAATAATGTTGGACCAAATATCTGGGTACAACATAAAATTATGACACCTAAAATTAACCATCATGTACACCCTATTCTCATTCCTTTCACAGAGGACATTAATACTTTGGTGTAATTCATCTAGATGTTTCCTGTGTATTTTCTGGTTGTGTGTGTGTGTGTGTGTGTGTGTGTGTTGATGACCTTTCTTCCTCCTGCCTGCACCTCTTTCATCTGTCAATACAATAAATAATGTTACTAAAATCCTGGTGTTAGATCCTCCTTTCTTCCTGGGAGAAATGGAGTTTTGGTTTGTATATTTTTGTTTTTTGATGTGCAAACCCTTACATTTTTTAAGCAGAAACATCTCAACTCATTTTTGTTGTTGTTGTCACGCCAACATTGCTATGGTGTGTAGACTTAAAAATTAAGCTTATGTTTTGAGGGACTTGAATTTCTAGCTGATGTCCAAATGGAAGCTTCTACTTGTAGGTAGTTTACTGATTTTTTTCTTAATAATATTATTTTGTTCTCATGGACACTTTGCTTGTAATTAAAAAAAAACAGCCTATATGTGGCTTCGGGGACCATCTGCAAATGGGCTTCTGTCAGTTTAGCAAGTGGGTAATATTAATTTGCCTTTGTGACAAGTCTTTTGTTGCTGTTTGTCTTGGGAGACCATGGTCCAAGAGGGCCAGTAGACCCCCAGAGGGTAGGGAAGGAAGGTTATTGTGTTAATAGTAATGTAAGTCAGTCTCTGCTGGGAGACGAGAGGTATCCGATACCATTTTTTCCTGAGCCCTCAAATTTAGGTTTCTCTTTTTTCCCCTGATAATCTTCATTTCTGACCTAAGGTTGTGCTGAGATTTCCAAGGCTACTCTCAGCAGTGGTGTGCGGCACATTTTGGGAAGTCTTACTTTAGGTGGCCAGAAGGGGCTGTGGTTCCAGAATGGACCCTCCCAGTGGTTGTGGTAGCAGGGAATGGAGGTGTGCATGATTCCAAAAGAGAGAGCATGGAACCAGGAACCAGGTCCTGAGGAGCACTGGGGAGCACTGTTTTATTATCCACTGATGGAAATTCCTCCTTTTAACCCAGAGTCCTTAAGTAAAGATTGGATGGCCAGATCGGCAAAGGTGGGGGCCCTTTGGGATATTTTTGAAGGACAGGTTTTCATATGTGTTCAAGGCTTTCAGAATATCTCTTTCCTTTAATCCAGAAATACTACTTCTAAGAATATCTCCTGAGACAGTAAGGAATGAGAAGCATGAAGCCGTGGTTCTAGGGATTTTCATTGCAGGTTTTACTCATAATTTGGAAAAATTGGAATCAATCTCTGCATCCAAGAGTGGGGATGCATTAAATAACTATGATTCTGCCCTACTAGAGTAGGGTGTTCCACATCTGGTGGAAATGTTGACACACAAGTGTTTTGATTGATGTGAAAAGACATTGCTGATATAGTCCTCATTGAAACATGTAACAAGTTATCCTATTTTGGTATAGAAAACATGGGCATGTGTGTATGTGAGATTGTGTGTGTCTGGATAATTTTTTGTCTTCTCTGTTTCTGGATTTCTTCTCTGTAATAAATAAGAGCTTCTTGTGTCATTATGTAAAAAGGAAGAGGTTACACTGTGTTCAGCACGCCTTATTTATAAGTCAGGAAATTGTCAGACACTTGAGAAAAGCCTCCATCCAAAGAATTTCAAAATGAGATTTTGGTGCCCACCAAGTGGCGTTGCAGGTTTTCCGGGCCGTTTATGCAGCAGTGAGCAGACAAGTTGGGTGGGAGAAGGCAGATATTGGTGGCAGTGAGCTCTAGTTATTAGAGACATTGAAAGCCTGGACTCACTCGTGCTCTCTTCTCTTCTAAATTAAATTATTGTGAACCATTTCACTCTATGGATGGAATGACTTACTTCAAAGAAGGCATGAGCTGGGGCATATTAAATAGGCTTTACAATAGTCACAGCATGGTGGAGTTCCTTATGTTGCCTAAGGGAGGTCAGTATTTAAAAAAAAAAATCTGTGATCGTCTCTAAAACTGAAAATTCGAATATATGTGATTCAGTATTCTTCTGGGACAGCAACCAGGAGCTTATTGAGATAAGCAGGTGGGATTGCCCGTGCCCTTTCCTTGTTCCACGAAAAATGACATTCTTGTTAAACCCCTGGCCCACATAGAGCTGGGTCACCGTGGAGTTGCTCTAAACGTAAGCTTTGCATCCCCCATGCGGTGGTGTGTACGGTGGGCAGTGCTCAGCGTCACGTGATCCTTAGCTCCGGATTGCCACGTCTTGAATTTTAGCATGTCACTGAATCCATGGTGTGAGGAGCCTTAGATCATTTTCCTTCGTCACAAAGTGTTTAGTCAGCTCAGCGGCTGCAGCGAAATACTAGAAAGTGGATGGCTGATCAAACGGCAGAAATTTGTTTCTCACAGTTCTGGAGCCTGGAAATCCAAGACCAAGGTCGGGGTCCGGTGAGGGCTTGCTTCCTGGCTCACAGCTGACCGCCATCATCGTTGGCCCAGCATCTGCAGGAGTCCCCTGTGATGTCTTTTTTCTCTGACACCAGATACGTGTGGTTTTTCCATCCCAGTTCTCCAATTCTCTGACAGCAATAGGGTCTGCAGCGATTCCAGGAATTCTGACACTAACGCTCCAGGGTTAGCACAAACCCCACAGGTGTGCAGCTCCGTCCCACAAGTCTCAACCCAGGGGTCACCTTCTGACCAACTGGCTACAAATTTGGGGATTCCCACACTCCCCCCTTCATGTTTGGTAATTCACTAGAATAACTCACAGAACTCAGGAAAGCTCTTTACTGACTGCCACTGGTTTATTATAAAGGATAAAAGCCAAGAACAGCCAAACGGAAGGGGTGCTCAGGACGAGGTATAGGAAAGGGGTGCAGAATTGGCGTGCCCTTTCTGGGGGCACCACCCTCCCAACACTTCAACGTGTCACCAACCCTGAAGCCCCCCAAACCCCATTGTTTAGGGGTGTTTAAGAAGCTTTCATTAAGTAGCCATGATTTGCTCTAACCACTCAATCATTGGCTATTGGTGATTGAACTCAGTCTCCAGCTCTGCTCCCCTCCCTGGAGGTGGGGTTGGGGGGGTTGTGCAGAGAAGGAGCAAGATCTCACCTCCTACTTGTGGGGCGGTCGGTCTTTCTAGAGACTGGCCTCCATTCTAAAGCTACCAGCACCCTGCCCCCGATGTGCATCATCTCATTAGCATGTAAGAAACTAATTTCTAAGGGTTTTCAGAGCTGTGTGCCAGGAACTGGGGACAAAGACCAAATATTTATGTTTATGACACCACCCCTCCCACCTGGTCTCCCCACATCCAGGCTGGTCTCGTAGACGCTGTTTCCATCCAGCGGCTAGACTTGATGAGGGTACCTGCAACTGACTGCTCAAAAAGCTGAACAGTTTGTGCTGTGGCCTCTTGGGGTTCCGAAGCCCCTTGACGTCCTCCTCCTGGCTCACGAGGCTCCACCCCCGGGCCTCCCAGGCTCTTCCTCACCTCCTTCCCATCTTCGTCCACCGTCTCCTTCCCAGGGAGCCCACCCCGCGCACCCTACCGGAGCCATGTCCCCCCTGCACTCACAGCCTCTCTTACCCTAGTCTCCTTTCTAACACACTCTGTCCTCACTCATCTGGTAGGTCTCTAGTTTGCTGTTTGACCTCCCGTTAGAAGGCACACCGTATAGGCAGGGATCTTGGTTCTCAGACGTTTCCCAGGCATCGTGCCTGTCTCGTGGGCAGCACCCAGTGAACATTTGAAAGTGAACAAAAGCCTGGCTTGCTCTAAACTGCCAGCCAGAACCGGGGCCCGAGGTTCTCTGTGTCCCCCCGGGGGGGACAGTGTGTGCACATGGGGTCTGCAGTGGTGATGCTCGGGCTCTGCGCCTCTGACCCGCTTCCCTCTTCACTTCTAGACTGGCCTTATTGTCGCCTGCTACCACGGCTTTGTGGATACTGTGGTGGTCTTAGCAGAGTGCCCCCACGTTGATGTCAACTGGCAGGACAGCGAGGGGAACACGGCCCTAATCACAGCCGCACAGGCAGGTAAGACCCGGCTTTGCCTTCCCTCCCGGAGCTGAGGCTGGGGGGGCAGCTGCCAGGTGGTGGGGGGCCGGTGGGCGGGGGGACGGGGCTCTGCACTTGAACTCAGGTCGTGAGATTAACGTAAGGACTGGAATTGATCAGAAATCTGTTCTGCTGCTAAGAGGTAGAGGAGAAGGCCGGTTAGGACGCGGACACATTGTCCTTGTGCCTTGGGGACGATGCAGAGTTTATTTGTGCAGAGCTTGCTGTTGGGCACATCTCGCCCTGATACTGCACAGTCTTTGAAGGTGAAGCTGCAGCAGAAACCCAAGCCTCGTCATCCCTTCCCCTAGAGCACCGTGCCCCACCCAGTGCTTGGAGTTGGGGAACGGAGAGATGCTGGTGAACTCACTACCATCACGGGCGGTAAGGACTGGATCCGATAGACATAGTTACAAGGTAACCTTACACTTGCAGGTAGATGTAAAGAAAAGCCAGGAGCTACTTGCCGAGAGTGTATCCGTGTAACAAGGCGGGACTGTTAGGGAGAGAGCCTCCCAGTAAGGGTCCTTCAGCCCTGCCACCGAGCGCATTGTGGCTGTCCTCTTCTAGAATCGTCCTCAGACGTTTTTGGAGACAAGCACGTGCTCGTCCGTTCTGGACCATACGTCGTTTGTCCCTGTGGTGTTAAGTGGGTTTGTCACTTGACCACCTCGAAAATTCTTGGCTTGCAAGATTGATCTGTTTGATCAGTCAGGCTCCCAGCTGCAAAGAAGCTGCTTCCTGCCGAGTTGGGAAGAAGAGGCGTTTGCTTATTGACGGAATGTAGGACACCTCACGATGTCATGAGGAGCTGCTGGGTGTTGGACTCAGGGCTGGGAAGCTGGAGAAAATGCCCCAGACCACACCGCACTTTGATTCTGGAAAGGGAACATCTGCTGTGCCACCAAAAAGAGACCTCCCTGTCCTGTTTTGCATCACAAGCTCCTGGGTCAAAGCCAGCATGGGGGTGACTCTGACTCAAGGAACCCGGGGAGACCAGGGAGCCCAGCAAAGCCAGCATCTGGCAGCTTCATTCCCTGTAATGTAATAGGGAGTAGTCCGTATGTACACATTGCTTTTTAGTCGAGCTGGGTAAGGTGGAGAACCCCCCCTGAATTAGAGAGGAGCCAAATATGTGCAAAGACATGTTCGCCTCAGCAGGTCTTAGGGTGCGAAGCTCTGTCCCCATTGGGCACTCCAGGCTTCGAAAGCCGAGATCCACAAGATCCTCAAGTGCAAGAGTGGAAGTGGGTAGCGGGAGGCATTCAGTGACCCCGGGCTCCCCATTCATCGCCTCCCACTGGCCCAGGAATGGGGGATGCCCAAGTCAAGGGCAGCTCTGCCCTCCAGTAATTCTCCGGCTCAGTAGGCCTCTGATGGAGCTCTGATGGAGGGTGTGCTGGGGGCCGTGAGCGAGAACGCCCCACCTGGCCTGCTGGTTGACGACAGGGGTTGTGAAGAGGGGGGATGGGGAAGGGGGTTTGAACTGAATGCTGAAGGAATCAGAGGGGGGCCATTGCAGCCGAGGTATCCAAGTGCACGGGGCGAAGAGGGGGCCCGGCCCATCTCAGGGGGTGTGGCGGGAGGGTTGCGGGTGACTAGGAGAGATGAGAGGTGGCCCCACGAGGAGGCAGGGACCGGATCATTAAGGGTCTAGGTGCAACATGAGAACATGAGGGAATGCATTTGAGTGCCATGAGGCTGGGTGTGTGGTGACAGGGGCTGGATAATCCTCATGGGCTCAGAAGTGGCTTCAGAAGCAGAGAAGGAGCAAGACCTGCCTGACAGAAAGTGGTATGAGGGTGTTGGTGGAGGAGAGGCGGCCTCTGGGATGGCTTCTGGCATCAGGACAGGGGATGATGAATTGCCAAGGGACATATGTACAGTAATAGGTGGAGAAGCATTGGCTCCATTTGGCACTCAGGTCTTTGAGACGTGACATATCTAAGTCAGAGGCCTCAGCGGTAGGTGGAGGGTATAGAGCTCCAAACTCCACAGTGTCCGCTGGGGTACAGAGCGGGGAGGGTTCGGGGGTTGCCGGAGAGGGGGGCTTATAGCACAGGCTAGACATGAACACTAGGAGAATATGCAGTAAGACGAGGTTCCTTTCTTATTGATTTGCCAGAACTCTTTGTGTGTTAAGGGTATAGGCTGTGGTTACCCATGAGGTACCTTCTGAATTCTTGCCTATTGAAAATAATAGGATAACAACTGTCCTTTGACCTCCCCCCTCTTTTTTTCCATTGAGTGTTGCAGGGAGAAAGTCTGAGTCCAGCCTGCTTTTGTCTTTGTTGAGACCCACTAGGAGAATATGCAGTAAGACGAGGTGCCTTTCTTATTGATTTGCCAGAACTCTTTGTGTGTTAAGGGTATAGGCTGTGGTTACCCATGAGGTACCTTCTGAATTCTTGCCTATTGGAAATAATAGGATAATGACTGTCCTTTGACCTCCCCCCTCTTTTTTTCCATTGAGTGTTGCAGGGGGAAAGTCTGAGTCCAGCCTGCTTTTGTCTTTGTTGAGACCCTCATATTGCTGAGATTGGAAATATCTCCCACCTCATCTTTAACAATGAAAACACCACCCCCTCCGCTGCCGTAACTGTCGTATATCTCAGCTTCTTCTCTGCGTTTGTTTTGACTTACATTAGGTGTATTTTTAGGAACTCTCTGTTAATCTCTTTGAAACACTGTCTGTCTTGTTTTGTTCTTTCTTCCTGAGATTACCTTTTAGACATAGAATAAGTCACCTGGTCCTCACGCCACAGTGTTCTTTCTCATTTTTTCCCCCCTATCCTTTTACTCTAAGGTCTGAGCAAATTCTGCATATTATTTCATTAATATGTTTCTATGCCATTCATCGGATTACATTTACTTTATTCTTCTCGAGCATCCCTGAGGTCAGTGTGTTTGGGCTTCTATAACAAAAATCCCACAAACTGGGGGAATTAAACAACAGAAATTTGTTTCTCAAAGTTCTGGAGGCTGGGAGCCCAAGATCAAGGTGCGAGGCAGGGGATTTGGTTCCTGGTGAGGGCTCTCCTCCTGTGCACGGGGCACCTCCTTGCTGTGTCCTCACATGGTGGAGAGAGAGAGAGTGAGGTCTCTGGTGTCTCCTCTTATAAGGACACCTGTCCTCTTGGGTCAGGGCTCCACCCTTGTGACCATCTTTAACCTTCATCACCTTCATCATCAGTCTGGTTCCACCCTGCTCATTGGGGCCACGACTGGACTTTCCCAAAGTCGGATGTCCTGCAACCTGCCCCGTCCCCACCTCCAGCAGGCCTTCTGTGGTTTCGGGCATCGCGACTGCCTTCCCTCTGTGCCTTTGGTCACCCATGGGAAGCAGGGAAGGGGACAAGACTCCGGTGTTCACGGCCCCGGTGGAGCGTCCCCTGCAGCAGGAGGGAGAGTGTAGCGTGGTTAGACCATTAGGATTGCCGTGGCTGGCCTGTATGTGATTCTCTGGGCCCCACACGTCGGGGTGTCGCGGGGAGGTGTCCGGGCTGTGACCCAGGCTGGGTCGTGCCGGAGGGTGGCTGTCCCGGGTGCTTTCTCTACTTGGCACCGCTGTTGGTCTACTAACTTGGTTATAAAATATAATACACAGTGTTCCGAAGAAAACCACATAAGCAAGCAAAGTTAAACACAGAAAGCCAATGAAGTTCAGGGTGAAAATCACTTAGCTCCTCGCCCCCAGGGCCTTCCAGTTCTACTGTCTGGAGGTAACACTTGTTAATTTGATGGGTTTATGGGTTTTCTTCCATCTTAAAAAAAGTGTCTATCATTATAATGTATTTTCTTTCTTTCTTTTTTTTTTTTTAAGATTTTATTTATTTGCGAGAGAGAGAATGAGAGACAGAGAGCATGAGAGGGAGGAGGGTCAGAGGGAGAAGCAGACTCCCCGCCGAGCAGGGAGCCCGATGCGGGACTCGATCCCGGGACTCCAGGATCATGACCTGAGCCGAAGGCAGTTGCTTAACCAACTGAGCCACCCAGGCGCCCCTATAATGTATTTTCTTTTCTTGTTTTAAGTTCTCTCTTTCTACTGGGGTCCAGATCCTTAGCTCATTCACTGGTTTGCTCAAGCTGTGTCTGCAGCTGGCTAGGTCCCGGGCCCACCCTCTTCTGTCTGGTGCCCGCTCCCTGCACCTGGGCTCTGACCCTTGGGGCGCCCACCCCAGGCCTGCTGTAGAACTGAATTGTTTGGGGGAGATGGGTGGGGAGGAGTAAGGAGGTTTTTTTTTTTTGGCCGCCTTAAAAAAAATCTGATTAAAAAGCATTTCCTAGTTTGTCTTAATTGCCGCAACGGGAGGAAGTGATTTTTCCCTAATTTGTGTCTGAAGGTGGTGACAGGACCTCCCAGAGCCAAAGCACACAGACTTCAGCCTCCCAAATTTTTAGAGGGTGGTGCGTGCAGGGTTCCTGAATTAGCCCGTTCAAGGACACCGCGCTGTCGTGAAGCCATTTGTGTTCTGGGGGTGCCTTTTGGAGGAGGGTGTTTTGAGCGGCAGTTGTTCTCAGGGGGCCGAAGTGAAGAGCTGACTGGCCGTGGAGGCGGGGCCGGGCTAGGGGTGGGACCCTGAGAGGGTGACAGGGGGCTGCCCCTCAGTAAGCCCACAGCCTGTGGGGCGGGACATGGGCGGGGAGGCAGGGTTGAGTCCCCCCCTCCCCCCCAGTCCCATCTCCCTCTCCTGCCCCAGCCCCTCCTGAGCCACACCAGAGACCCGAGGGCCGAGAACGGGCAGGTGCTGTGTGTGGAGGCCAGCCTCCGGGCCTGAAAGCAAGGGCAGAGAAGGAAGAGGAAACGATGCACGGAGAGAGTCTCAGAACTCAACTGCTTCATCAAAGGACACGTGTGTTTACGTAGCCACTGCCAAGGGGCCTTTAGGAAAAAAACCATACCCATTTATACTTTCTACCAGGTCCCCAAGGGTATTCTTGCCAACCCTGGAAAAGATCAATTTTTAGTGTTTGCCAGT